CCCCAAAACCCCAAAACCCCAAAACCCCAAATCCAGCAATAATAATTGAATAATTTAAAATGCAGCTCAACAGCAAATTTCCACCCACAGGTTGTAAGCCAGCTTCTAAATTTTTTGTTTCTGTTGGGGGCCTAAATTTTTTATATGGGAAATTTTGGGATTTTCAGAGGGAAATTTTAGGAACCAGAGAAGTGGGAGGAGATAGGGGGTTATGGGGTGATGTGTGATAGGGTCAAAAGGAGAGAAGACAGAAAGAGGAAGGCAGAGAGATGATAGGAGTATCTTTAAACAACCTGTAAAGCATAAGAAGAGAGGAGATTTAGGGGATTTGGAGAGAGGTTCGTGACCTTATAACTCGGATTTAATAAGGGAAGATGTGCAACTTTTTAGGGATGTCAATGTGGAGGAAGACAAGCAAGATCACCAATCGAGTATTTCCAATATGGAGCAAGACTTGCTATCGTTTCAGAATAAGAAATTAAGTCTTGAGCTAGAGAATTCAATTATCAGAGAACTTAGTGATCTTAGAAAGCATCAACTTGAAGACTTAAAGACTCTGAATAGAAGGAAGAATGAAGAGATGAGTATCAGAACCATACCTATAAAGCTTGATACTAATGAGTCAGTCAAGATGATCAAGAGGCCAAATTACGATAAGGAGTTCAATATAATGAGCTTCAAAAATTTACAGCAGTTCAGAGCAATCATTGAAAAACGTAACATAGAGATTCAGAGAGAACTTTTAAGTTTCAGAGGGTCGCATGATAGCTGAATCATTACTGAAATCAGCCTCGTATCTTTTTTCTACTATTTAAATCTAGTAGAGCCAATTTATGTTCCATATTTGGTAAGAACAGCTATTGATATCTTGTACAAGTATGACTCACCTCCTGTAGAGAGTATAACTGAAGAGAATCTTCCAACTGAGGTATTCAAACTTCTCCAAACCTTGCAATTTGAGAAGGTTTCTGAGCTTCTTTCCAATTTTTAACAGCTGAGAGATTTATGAAGAAATTAGTTCTATTGTACATCCGATTAAGCAATACTTCTCCCATGGATTGACTCAGAGCTACCAAAATCATGAAGTTGAGCAGGTATTTAGGAACATGACTCTTTTGGCCAAGAATAGCTATGAGCTATACTCTCAGAGTGAAAACTTGCTTAATAAGATTGAAGTCAGAGGGCTTCTACCCTCTCTAAGACTTCTGTCTGGAGACCTTCAGACAAGTATTGACAATAAAGAGATTGAGCTTCTCCATGAGCTCTGCCTTAAATTTGTTTTTACAAGTGCTCTTCCCAAGGAGAAGACTAAGCTTCAGTGGAAGCAGGAGCTTTCAGACAAAATAGCGTCTCTTCAGAATCAGGACGCCAAGAATTTCCATATGGAAATTCTTGGAGTCATTCTTGACGATCCTTACCAGAGTTTCAATGATATCAAGGCAAGATACCCAGCTTGGCTTAGTGAATTCTTACTATATATTTGGGACACTAATGGGATGTTAAATGAAGAAATTTTCCAAAAATCAGTAGATGTCAAAAATAGTGAAAAATGTACTATCATCGAGGCAGGTACTGAAGAATATGTCAGGTACGTAATCAGCCTCAAGTAAGTGCTAAATGTCTAACCTGTAGACTTCCAGACTCAATTAATATTTGTGATCCATATATTAGGCTTTTAAGTGACTCTGGGACTATAGTATGTCTAGCAAAGCTTGCCTCGTTTGATTACAAGCCAAGTAATTCTTACTCTTATGATGCATTTCAACGAATATACGAACGTGAGTACAAATCCAGAGAGCTAGAGGAACTCAAGAACGACTTTGAGGCTCTCATCCTTGACAAAAGAGCCAACTATTTCCAGCAACTTGACCAAGAAAAACAGGAAAAAGCTAATTTTTATGAAATTCTCAAATATTTTTCAAAGAGACGGAGTGTTCATAAATTCAATCAAGCTGTTTTAGAAAGGATCAATCTTATCTTTTTAAACAATATCAATCCAGTAGATGTTATAAGCGAAGAGATGCCTGGATTTAGGGCCTGGAGAAAGAGATCTCCTCCATTTAATTTCTTGGCTACTTATTGCCAACTGATATCTTCTATCATAGGCGAGAAGGAGGATACCCAGATCGTTAATGAGACTTTGAAGAAGATCTTTTGTCAGATTGAATGTCCTATTCAGTACAAAATATTAGTATTGCACAAAATATCAGTCTATATTATCAAAGAAGAAGTCAAGGTTGATAAGCCATTGATCATGGATATGCTGATATTCTTCGAGCAGTTTACCTCCAAAGCAAAGATTCTCACTGATAAATACTTCAAAGCTCCCTTAATGCCATTGGATGCAAAGGAGATTTTGTTGATTAGAACCGCTCTTAAGGAGTCATTGACTTGTAAGCTATCAAAAGATGAAGCTAGCTTATTTCCGGACTTAAAAAGTACTTCATAAGATTTAAAATATTCTTCCAATAAAATTCTACTTTAAGGGGTTTTGGGGTTTTGGGGTTTTGGGGTTTTGGGG